TGTGTAACAGTGTGAGTGTTGGTTTTATTTTGGATTGAAACAGAAGTACATTTTTCGCAAAAGGCAGCCTGAGGAGCTTCGTGAGTGCTCTGACTGGCCTGGTGGTGCTTTGGGGATGGTTTGTGGGCCATCCTTTAGCCCTCCTCACTGGCATTGTGCTGGCAGTGGCTTCATGTCCATTCTGATATTGAACTTAGATAAATAAAGGACAATTTTTCCTCAGAAGTCTCTCCTGAAAGCCTTTCAGTACCATGCCAGCTCCCTGCAGAGGATGGGGGAGCTCCTGGGGCTTGGGCTGAGTCTTCTGCTCCTCGTCAAGGCTGGGGATGCTGTGAGCACTTCTGAGAGAAGGCCTGACAGGGTTTGTGAGGTGTGCTGAGAGACTGGGCAGTGTGCGGCCTGGGAGGGAGCACAGGCTGTGGAGAGAAGAGCAGGGGCAGAATCAGGGAGTAGAGAATCTTGGGGTGGTTAATGGGACCTGAATTTGGGAAAGAAGCGGGGCAATGTGAGGGCATGCAGGTCCCCCTGACTTTGCCAGTCAGTCAGTGTTTTCAGTCTCCTCTGGGACGTGGAGTAAGCAAGCCCTTGGTGCAGTAGGTGTCACAGGCTGTGAAGCTAAGCTAGAGCATATGAAGGGATAGGAGAGGGCAGCTGGGGCATGGGGATGTGTTTAATAGGGTTGGGAAAGGAAATAGGGCTCATCCCGGTCCTACTGGATGCTCTTGTTGATGTCTTCTGTGGAGCTGCTCCTGATGTTCTTCCCAGAGCCTACTCTTGCCTTGCCTGACAGAGAAAGTGACTTCTTCATACAGCAGCAGAAATAAATTTGCAGTGCTCATAAGACTGCAGCTACTTAGTGAGTGAAATTTCAAAGACAGGCACTCAAACTCACTGAAGGCCTTTCAGCCTGAACTTGGGATCTAAATCTGACCTCTGTAATGTATTATACTATAACAGATTATAGCTAGTTCCTTAATGCCAGTGCTTATTTTCACAGCAAAAAAACCCTGCTGTCTCATAACATATCCTGCATCTTTTTATAACATACATTTAGCTATGTCTTAAGTGTAGAAATTTTTTTTATTTTATTAATGGATTTATTTTGGAGTAATCCAGAAAAGACCTTCCCTCTCCTTCACTAGTCTTACACCATTATAATAAAAAGCCAGGCCATCCCCATGGACCTCCTGGGCTGTTTAATTACTGTGCAAACACCAAGGGGTGCTAATGAGCTTTCTTTCAAGCATGTGTTCATATGTCAACACTTGCTTTTGTCAGAAGCTTAAAAATGGAAACAGTTTTCTCTTTAAGAAAACAGGACCCAAATAAGGAGATGATGGAGTGGTGAAGATTCCTCTAGCGAGTCTGTTCCAGCTCATTCCTTAGAAAGGCTGTCTGTGTGTGAAAGATCAGAGAGGAGGCCAGTAGATCTGGGTTTTGTCCAGGGGTCTCTGGGTTTAAAGCTCTCTACCAACCACTTGAGCTCATTTTCCCTGTGACTTGGCTGGGTACAACTTCTTTCACTGCCCAGGCTGTTAAAAATCTTAAACTTTACCCTTTGGAATTCTTTCAGTTGCAGGACAGATACAACTTATTCCTTAGCAAAAATGGAAGCTATCAAGAAAAAGATGCAGATGTTGAAGTTAGACAAGGAGAATGCCATTGACAGAGCTGAGCAGGCTGAAACGGATAAGAAGGCAGCTGAGGACAAATGCAAACAGGTAAGTAGAAATAAAGTCACTGGTTGCCTATGCTGTGGAAATAAGTGTAACAAAATACTGTGTTGCAACTTTCTGACTCAGAAAGCAAAATAATTTGAGGTCGGGTTTTCTGTTAATCTTCCTTTGAAGTCTTTTGCCTTTCTGTGAGGTTACAGTTGTACAGCCAGGGCTAGGTGTTAACTTCTCTTTCCAGCCATCTGAATCTTTGCGAAATTAGCACTATCCACAGATAAGTTTTCTTGAATGTTACCTAATCCCCTTAATTTTCTTGTGCTTGTGATTCCATGGAAGAGACCTTACATACTCAAAATCAAAGCTGCATACCTTGAACACCTGTAGGGCTAATATTAATACCTCCTGAAGAGGCAGCTGTGTCTAAACATTAACTGAGCCTCTCCTTGAAGTGAATTAATAAAGTTCACTTGACTAGTCCTTGGTATACAGAGTGCCCCTTAGAGGTGCCAGCTGTGACTCAACAGTATGTAATGTTGTATTATTTTTTTGTTAGGGATAATCAGAAACATCTTAATTTGAAAGCTCTTAATTTAACAGAATTATTCTGATAACATTTTCATATTATTTTGCTTTTCAGTGTTCTTTATTCTGGGTGTCTACCTCATAGCTGAGCTACATTATTTTCAGAACAATCTTGAAGTGTGAGTTGACTCCACTCAAGTTTCTTATAGCACTTCTTGTAAAATTACCATGTCTTTTCCTTTTACATTCTCTAAATGTGGCTGCTTCTAATACATCTTCCAGACTGCTATAATACCTTAGTAGCATTCATTTGGACAAATATTTCTTATGTTCAAGTTCCGCTTGAGATCCTAGATGATGTAACTAAACTTTCAACTGATCATCCACTTAGCTAAAGCAACAGGGAAAAAGTTTCCAAAAGGGTCAGCAGCTGCTGTCTTCCCCCTCCATCCCCTCCCCAAGGAAAACAACTTGTCTCTTGGTGTGCCGTGACAGTAAGCTTCTACACATCGCCATGTGTGTGTAGTCCCTGTTTCTTTCCTGGCTTCAGAGGTGTTGATCGGATGCTGTTCTGTTGGGCCACAGTTTCCCCAGCTAATCTTTCTGCACCCAGTAACAGCCACAGCAGATTGTTATTCAGAGCGGTTAATGGTGACTGAATGCTTAGCCTTCCTTTACATTTAGTTATCAAAGGTGATTTCCTACAGGGTGATAAATGACACACTTGTGGGATTTTTCAAGTATCTATATGAGCCTAATTCACAATAAAAGATTTATTTTTCTCTTATCTTTTTATCGTAATCCTCTTTTCTTAATTGTCTCAATTTTTTCAGCTTTTTTTTTAATGTGGGCACAGTACTCAAGTAATGATTTTGATGTTGTACACAAAGCAAACACCACCTCCTTCATCTTGCTTGTTGTCCCTCTGTTAAAGCATCCAAGCAAGCCTGCTCAGTTCTCTCACGCTGTGTGGTTACTCTGAGTAAAAGTATAGCAACATAACAATGTTCAAGAATAGCACGCTACCAAAAATGTTGTTAGAGCCATTTTTGAAGCCAGAATGAAGAAAGCCAGTACACTAAAACACAAACTATTTTGAGTGAATTATTTTGATAGACTAAATGTATGTGAAGGCGGGGCTACGTGCTTGAATCAGTTTCTCTACAGACTGGGTGTTTTGTATTGCGGATGAAATGATGGAGCAGATGGGCTTGCAGGCTGCACCCTTATCAGCAGCAGGGCTCCTGATAATGTAAATTCTTCAGGGAGCATGAGACAGTTTGTCATTAAGCAGTCTCCCAGCAGGTTATAAATAGTACTGTTCTAGTGTATGATATGGATTTATATGGTAGGGAGGAGAGAGTCTGAACCTCACGGTAGGACGGAGCATACCTTGTTGGCCCACAATCAGTCAGAGAACCATTGAGGCTGGAAGGGACCTCTGGAGGTCATCGAGTCCCACCTCTCGCTACAGCAGGGCCTGTCGCGAGCCAGAGCTGGTCCCTCCTGCTTCCAGAGTGCCACGTTTGGTTTGAAGGGTCTTGAACAACATACAAAAGATGATTAGGGAATGACCACTCATTTTTTCTAGCTATACAGGAGTTGTATAGTTTCCTAATAGACCATCAGGTAAGAGTGTTAGAACAAACACAAGGACAGAATTTAAAATCATTTCTAATGATGCTGTAGAACTAACTGCTGCAGGGTGTTGTCAAGTCCAAAATTGAAATGAGGTGAAAAAGGGCTTATACCAAGTTATGTATCAAACCAGATCCTGTGTGTGCGGTGGCAGGGAATGTTCCAAGGATGATGTGTGTTTAATGTTCTCTCCCTGGCAGCTGCTACCAGTCATTCTCGGACTGCTTGCCCCAGCAGAACTTTGATCTGGTCTTTTCTGACTCTTCAGATGTTATGTTAGGTTAAAACTAATAGTAAATAGAGGTTTTAACCATACTAAACTGTAACTGATAATACATCAAAATGCTCAGTTGGGTGGTTTTTCTTTTTCTCTCTTGAAAGGTAGAGGACGAGCTGGTAGCTCTGCAGAAAAAGTTGAAAGGAACCGAAGATGAGCTGGATAAGTACTCGGAGGCTCTCAAAGATGCCCAGGAAAAACTAGAGCAGGCTGAAAAGAAGGCCACTGATGTATGTACCTGCGCCTCGGATTTGCCTGTAACTCTGCTCTGTGTATTTTGCAGTCTGTGTGTAGCACACTGATGGTGAGAATCCCTGAGAACGTTTGTGTTGCAGTACTTTGGTGGGGGGATAGGAAAGGCAGCGTTAATTTCAGGTACGTGGTCACCTATCTGCTCTGCCCCACGGAACTCGGGCTGGCTGTTCTGCCTGTGCACGGCACACACACTGCCCCAGAGCCAGCAGGAGTGAGGGCTTATCACAGCGCTGCACCCACCGGGGGCTTCCGAAAGGGGGGAAGCGTTTGTGGGCAGGAGGTCTGTAGGAAAAGTGAAATCTCCTTCAGTTGAAGTAAACAAAACTGTGATTTTTCTGGGAAGCTGGGCCGGAAGCAGGGATCTGCTGTGGCGCAGGGATGCAGTTTGGCTTCAGCCCCATGTCGGGTTTAGAAAACAGCCCCAGCTGCCCCTCCCCACACCCCCTTTGTTTTGCTGTCGGAATGGTTCGGTTTGGCTTCTCTCCACCTGCCTGGGCCCAAACACGGCGCAGGACCTGGCACCGGTTCCTTGAAC